CACGTCGCGACAGGCACCGGGGGTAGTCCCGAACGGACAAGGGGAGAATACGGCGTTGTTCCTCCCGCACCGCCCCATTTCTCACTCTCCGTCCTGTTCCCAATGGCGCAACAGACCCACACACACACCTTCACCCGATAAACCCCCCCCAACACACGCACACGATGCGTTTCAGAGACTCGGAGCTTCATTCCGGCCGCTTCTCAGTCTTTCCTTCGGAAAAAATCAAGAGGCAGAAAAAACATCCACCCCTGCGGAAAGCAGGCGTCGCCCAACAGAAGCTTTGTTTTCTTCAATAATAATTCAGTAGGAGAATACAATAGCAAAGGCACTCCCTGGAGTATTCCTAATGCTTCCAGAAATAAGGCAGCCGAGTTCGATGCATCTCAAGTTTCGATACAAGCCTCAGAGCTTGTGGTAGGTAATACAGTCGGTTTGTAAGTCACTTAGCGCCTGAATAAACTATTCCCCTTCTTCCCATTCCACAAATCCAGGTCAGCACTGACACAAAATCCGAGGGCTCCGCACATCCTCGTCGCATCGCTGGAGCTCAGTTTTCCATACTGATTTTAAAGCCAGCAGTAGAGCACTTGAAGTTCACAAGGAGGTTTGGTGTACTCCTCCATTTACGCTAAACACACCAAAATTGGAAAGCACAGCGCTCAGTAGGAAGCTGCACTGATTTCTCCTGGGTTTGACATACGGTGTAACTGCCGGACAGCTTCGGGGTGAGCATCATGGTATTGCTGTCGGCGGCTTCTCGGGGGGAATTTTTGTCATACCCACAGCAGCAAACTTTGAGGATGGAGCCCGGAAAGTTTCTCTGCAGGTAGAGGAATCAAATGAGCTTTAAAGGCTTGTGGAAACTTGAAAAAAACCAACCCTGAGAAGCGGAGATTCCCTCCGTGGGTAACGCTTGCGGGCAGGGAGTAGGAGTTTGGAGGACAGCAGCTATGATCAGAATTGGTCAACTAATTTTGAGGCCATTTAGTACACAAAGGGAAGCAGGCTGTCATTTAGGTAATTAAAGAGAAAGCAGAAAATTATATGAAAGAGTTAACAAGGGGGGGGAAACCATGGTGTGAGTGTTGTATTTCACTGCAATTAATTTGTGGCAGTGGACAGACGGATGAACTCCCACCCCTTAGCTGCCCCCACGCAGGAATAAAAGCTGACACAGGGCTCAGCCATGTGGACTTGGCAAGCACGTCCCAAACCGCACGTGAACGAGTGGCCCGCTATGTGTCTCTGGCAGCTGATATCACCTGCACCGGAGAACCATCATAAGGCGAGAAAGATACAGCAAAGGTATCACCTTTATTATCTTATTTGACCTTTTAGTTAAAAAATAAGTTCAATTTGTGATAATGGAACACGCTTTGCCCAATACTCAAAGATAAAACCAGTTTAAATGCTAAAATGCCAGACCCATTACACTCAGCTGCAGCCAACAGCTCATGCACACACCTGATTTTCTTAGGAGCTTTTGTCGGAAGAAACAGCTCCCAAGTGGGGAAGAGTTGTTTTGCCCATCTTGTGGGTGACAGCTCTCCGATCTCAACACAGCAGGAGGCAGTTCCTGGTTACGACACTAATTGGGAACTTCCTATAAACATTATTCCTCTCCCTCTACACGGCAAGTAGTCTAGAACAAAAACAATAAACTCACCAAAAAAATGACTGCTCGGCTGTGTCATACCCTATAAATACTTCTGAGCCACCATAAAAAAAAAGAGGTAAGAAAAATAGTTCCTATGTCGTAACAATTACACACTTCAGATTCTTAAAAACCAAGCTAGTATTTAACCTGAGCTCTCAGCTATAAAAATAGTTTTGTTAATCTTGGCATAATTCCATGTTTTATTTCAAGATAAAATATATTCCCGCATAGTCACATCTTTTTGCCACTCAAGAGTTTTTTCAAACACTCGCAGAACCATGGAAAAAAATTAGGTAACTTTCCATTGTAGCTGACGGGTTGATGATCTTCTGTTCTCAAAATTAATTCTACCTTGGAAACTTCTTCACCCACTGCAGAAAATTAAAGATATTAAAGATTTTTATTAAAATGCAGGAACATTTCCTCTAAAATACATGAAGCAATCACATATATGTCAACTGACTATCTAAATTTTTCACACTGCAGACAATGAAAACGTAAGAGTAAAAATATAAGGGGGAGAAAGATAAACACGGCACTTCACAGAAAGCCAACAGTCTCAGGGACACCACTGCAGTGTTATGAAATAAAATCTTTCCAGTTTGTTTTGCAAAAAGGAGTGATTTTTGTGCCCTGGGCCAGCTACTGAGTCACAGTTTACAAGCAGTGGCACATGCTACTGTGTCCAAAACTGAGTGTATCCTTTTACTCATTGCTTTCCTTCCTCGCTCTTCAGCTCTCCCCCACCCAATCTCCGTAAAGAAAAAACAACCGACTGATGAAAACGGCTAAACGGCTGTCAGCTAGTTAGGAAATTGGCCTAATGTTTACCAGTGCACCTGCCCTCTAATGATTTCAAAGCAATTTAAGAAAACCACAAGGCCAACCAAAATCAATTCAATCACTTCTCTACATGAAATTGCACAAATGTTTAGTTATTTCTGAACCTGCTATCAAATCTGCAAAAGCTGCTTTGGATTTAACTGATTGCAGTGATTTGGTGCCTTTTAATAAACGAAGAAAATAGGAATTAGGCAGCAGCCAGTGACTCGCAGAGTCACTAATTCTTGTCATGGATCTGTAGTGAATTGTGGGTACATTTGTTCCACCAGTTCTTTCTCACTTGAAGCAAATGAGATTATTTCTGTAGGCTAAGCGTACGCTTACCGCTTTGCTGTATCAGCATGGTGCTCAGCAATTTTAGGGATTTGCTCCTGAAACTTTTTTTTAACGTCAGTAGTTTCAGGATGCAAGTCACAGTGCTGGCTTCGATCTGTAAAACCACCAGCTTCTGTTACCTTACGGCTCTTTTTAGGAAAAGAAGAGATCTCTATATCGGAGCATTACAGCAGAGGAAGGTACGGCATTCCAGCTACTCAGCATCCATTTCCGATGAGAGCCCCATTAGCGTGCACTAAGCAGCCCCAGCTTATTTTGAAAGACGACTTAGTGTCTCCATACCAAATGCAGAAACAGCAGAACATGAGGGTGCGACAAACCAGCACCGCTCCCCAGGGGCACAGAGGGTTTGGCTCCACAGGGGAGAAGCAGTTCAGGGACCGCTGTTCGAATACACTGAGAGAAGCTCCCCACTGGATCGACGTTGGTCAGTATGAGAAATCCAGTGCCACACAGCTTCACGCTCCAGCTTGCTGTGCAATACCCTCCTTTTGCAGACAGGTGCTTGGGTTGTGTTAGCATTGGAAGATTTCGTTTTTTGTCGATTTTCCCCCACATTGTTGCTAGTTCTTTTTCAGTTTCATGTAGTGTTCGGTATTTTAACTATATCTGTTTACTCTTTTGTCTTCAGACCCAGACAACATGGTGCCTATTGCAAGCATCCAATTCACGTTTGTAGAACAAATAATCAGAGAGTGCAAAATTTCCTGATTCAAAAAGAAAAAACAATCCGCTATGGGCAAGGCTGCTTTTTTATATTCTGAAGCAGCTCTATTCAAAACATCCTACTTTTGGAGCTCTGAGCCCAGGAACAATATGCTACAACGGCCCTTGGCCGTGGCACTGAAAAAACACTTCCCAATCTCTTATTCAACAATGTTCATATCCTTGATCCTGTTATCTGGAACACACAGAAGGATTTTAACGACAATAAGCGGTGTGCAGGTACTTGGGAGTGGAGCTGTGAAATCTGACTGCCCAGAGGATGAGGAACATGCTTGAGAAAAGTTTAATTATTTGACTACAGGAATTACTTGCTGCCTTAACATCTGTTTGCTGTTACAGTACTTGCAAGTTTTATTGGTAATGCATTCTGAGCAGTGCACTTAGAATCTCGTGCCAGACTCATATCAGAAGTCCATAACTTGTATTAATATTGCAGATGCATTTACAAAGAGGGAAACAAAAAAAACCCCAAACAACCCAAAAATATAAAACCAAGTCGAAAACACCTTCATACTCACGGAACATCATAGAGAAAAGAGTGGAAGCTTAGCATCTCTTTCTTCTGCAGCAGATAACTGGGTTCTGTGAAGAGCTTCTGCAAGTTCTCCTGTCTACATTGTAATGCAAAAACACTACGTGGAAATCAAAGAACTCAGATAATAAAAATTACAGAGCCGCCAGGTTCAAACTGGTGAGCAGCAAGAATATGCTTTTAAATTCCCTCTTCTCCTCCCTCCCCCAAGCAAGGCACAGAATCCAACAGGTACAAATACTGATTAAATTCTAAGGGTTACATTTGATACATGTTATGTTTTAAAGCACAGTTTAAAACAGCCTCAGGTAAACCAGGTTTTAAGCACAGATTAGTTGGCCTGCATAGATTAACTAAAACACGCCTGACAAGTTTTTGCCCAGAACCTCTCTGAAAGTAGATCAAAGTTCTACAGATGTGGTTCAGAAGCTACTCCCGCCAGTAAAAACGAGCCTGCTTTATTTTCTATCCACTAAAGCAATCGTTCGGAATGAGAAGCCAGTTTCCAAGCTCAAAAATGCAGTATCAGGTTATAAAGCAGAGTCATGCTCGCTACTAAAGGATGGCCGGTTTAGCTGAGCTGTGACGTGCCAACCAGTAAGCAGGAGCCAGACAGCTGATGGGGCTGGGCAAGAGCCACAAGCAACCACTGTTCTGTAGAGAGCTTTTCAGGAATCCCTCCTACAAGACAGTCTTTGCAAAAGACTACACTGCTGCTGTCTTTTACGCTGAATGAAATCCTGCAGATGAAGTTCTGAACAAAATATCCTTTCAGTTTATGCAAATGCTGGCACACAACCTTTATACTCTGTCAGTCAGTCCCAACACAGCTAAGGTTTCATGGCTCTGAATGTTATCAAAATTGCTTTGTCTGTTACTCACAGTAACATTGTTCTGGTCAAGTTCATCTAAGGATATAAGGAGTGCAACATTTTTAGAGAGGTAACACCTTTCAAGAAAAAGCTGAGGTTTCAGCATTGCAGCCTTCTCATTAGGAGTCTGCTTTAACACCAAAAGCCTAAACTCTCCCTTTGTGATACCTATCAGCACAAGTTTGCTCACTTCTAGAAATTCTTCAGAATATTTATGAAAACAAACAAGTGACTCCTTCTCCAATTACTCCTATTACCCACACACTCAAGGCAGAAAGTCCCTATCAGCGTTCATGCTCATAAAATAAATTGCCGTGACAGCTACATACAGATTATTTTCTTTGACCATTGAGTATGTTCTCTGACCCTGCAATGAAGAAACTAAAACCATTAACCCACAAAACCTCTTTAAGCAATTTAAGCTGAAAGTCTGGTTTAAATTCATATACAAAACTATTCTACATATCACCTATTTCCTATACTGTCCTCCTTTCCACAAATATACCTCACATAATAAACCAGTTCTGAATGTAAGTTGTGCTTGTGTTCGCTTTTTTCCTAGACCTCCTACAGCTTGCTCCAAAATGATTTCTTCCTTCCATCTGTTTAGACACATGCAAAAGTCAAATCCCGTCATGACCTTGAGGAACCATAAAGAATCCTATAAAAAAATTCAAGTACTTCACGCTAAAGTATGCAGGAATTTTCTCTTTGGCAAAGCGTGAGGAAGATACCTTTTATAACGTCATAGCACAAGTCAAGCATAAGGGAAAAGATGTTACCAATCACTCTTCCCAGTCACCTAAATCTAGTCATAGGGGAGTAATATATACCGTATTAATGCTGCTGCTGTTCGGACTGCAGCGGGGGCTCGTGTGGAGGAGAGTGCTAAGCTCCAGATCAGCAACCATCTGTCGAGACTCGGCCAACGCATGCTGCAGCTTACTTATGGGGGAACCGGTGCCCTGGAGGAGACAGAAAGTGAGTCAAAGTTATGAAATGATCTTTTTGGAACAGGTCAAAGGATTATAACATACCAAGAATCATCACTTTAATTTTGAAATGTCTCAGTTCAAAATACTACTATGTAACACCACTCCAGAATCTGTCTAAATGCTGATGTTTCTAATAATCATGGAGGTCTTTCCCAGTGTCAGCTTTTTAACAGATCTTCACATGCATGTGTATGTAGCGCGCACAACAGCAGTACTTCAGTGATAAAGAGGAGAATGAAAAAAGGCATGACAAAGAGGGAAAACCAGGCAGAACAAGAAAGAAACAATATCCAATGGCTTCTAATAACTGTGTCCAAGCATACTCAGATATTGTGCTTTACTAGAATTAACATATACCAGCCAGCATCCATTATACTAAAGTCTTTTTAACTCACTCACACCTATGCTGTTCAAGACAGATTGAGACAACACGGAATTATTTTGAAAAAATAATTTACCACCTTTGCTTTAAAGCTTCCGTCTCATCATTCAAGTCCCTAGTTCTTCCATGCCGGCAGACATTTGCTTTCCTACTATCAGTCACAATTCCCCTTAAAACTAACGAAGAACATTCTGCAATAAAATACTGACTTGGTCCATGGTAGCACTGCAGCACCTATTTGTTGGCTTAGTCACTGAAAGATCATTGATCTCCAGGGGTAAGTCTTCAACAGAGAATTTCTCGCATCTTTGAGGCCTTTCTCCTTTCTGGGTGGATGCCAAACAGGGAGAATCCAAGTGAAAAGAATTCAGATCCACATTTTCTTCACTATTAAAAAAAAAAAAAAAAAAGACAAGACATTGCCAGAAACAGCATCACCATTCTTTTTAACCTTTCAAAGGAAAATCATGGAACAACAAAAATAATTATGGGCCCTGAGCCAAGAAAACCATCAAGCATGCGAGATTACTCTGTTCCTCAGAGTGGTTCCTGTGTTTAACAGCTTCGTTAGATCAGTTTCATCCTCCGAGGACAACAGTTTGACATTCAACCAGTTTCAAGAACAGCTACATTACCATGTACTTGAGTATCTATTTAACCTTGTAAAGAGCACACAAATGGCAATATCTCATTCCTCCCAATACTCTGGTACTCTTTCTTGTCTCACACCCTGCTCCTCTTTTTTTTTAATCAACCATCAGGCAAATTAATATTTATAGGTGTACTTTTCAAGGGAATTTCACAGTCTTCTAAAGTCATCATCTCACTTTAGAGATCACAGGAGAGCTTTCCCAAAGAGGCTTTATTTTATTTATTTTTAAATACAGCAGCAAACAGTAAAGTGCTGTTCAGGCAAACTGTGATTAAACCCAAAACTCAGGTGCCTGACTACCATGTCAGTGTGGAGTTGAAGCATGCAAGCTATTGGCATACACCTTCCCCTAGGTTTTAAAGCAAAACAAAAATATTAATTTATTACTGGGTATACCTGAGTGTATTTAGGAATATCTGAAAAGCAATTTAAATGATAGTTAAAGCAACAAATCATACCCTGCACATTATTACTGACCAAGCACTGACTCACAGCCATCCCACGCTTGCCGTAATACAAAAGGTCTTTAGCCCTTAATATGCATGTCAAATGAATGAAACTTTTCTTTTACCCCTTTCCTACAGTAAAACTTAACTTTATTATAGCCTACCCTACAGAAAAACAGTTCTCAATTTCAATTCCTTAAATCGCATTTTTTTCAAAATGTACCAAATCCCTCCCGCAGCTCCAGCACCAAGTAATCACAAATTAAAACTAGAAATAATAAAAGCTGTAGCACGTTTGAAATTACCTTGATCATCTATTCTAGCTGTACAGGAACCCAGCAGCACCCTAAGCCCTCTGTGCCCTCTGCTGTGTTTTCGCACAGCCCCGAGCGCTCTCTGCGGCTTGTACAAAGACGCGCCCTGGTTTCTGCCAGCAGTTTCAAGCTACGCAGTGTTCATTTTCAACTACTAATTTCCACTTCACACAGTTTTAAAAAAGTAAATAAAATAGCGACCATATCCCCACAACAAAACATTTCTGTATCCATCACACTTCTGAACAAAACAGAAGCACCGTGCTGGCACTGCCTGGATTGGGTAAATAATTAAAAACCATACATATTTTAAAGAAAATGCTATCTTTAAACTTACAACATTTCATTAAATATTTTTCAGATACAATACATTCCCTACCTGGCAAGACTGTTACAAAAAGGTTTATTTTTAAATGACATTCAAGCTAAGAAAAAGCCTTTGTGAGAGATGCCAGCTCAGAAGTGTCTGCTGTGTCTCATTTCACTTCCATTGTAAAACACTGGGACACAATAGGCTTTCTTTTAAGAGAGAAAAGCTCATGTTTGTGAGCTTCTGACAAGGAGAAGCTCTGGAGAGATGTGAGGGAACAAGCTGTAGCAGCCTAGAACAGTGGATGTAAGGAGATGTAATGAGCACAGCCAGTTGTGAAGAACACACAGGTTGGGAGGGAAGGGGGGAACCAGTTTGATTTTGAGGCAGGGAGACTCAAAGGCTCAAGGAACGGTGGCTTAGTCCAGCAGGAGCACACTGAGCAAGTAACCGCTAACGCTCCATCTTTAAAACCAGAACTGAGATAAAAATCCAAAGGCAGCAAATGTTGGTCCAACATAAATGAAGTCACTAAGTCAGAGCACACAGAAATGATTCCTGCACTACAGTATTTCACAATCGCTCTTGCAGTTGGATAAGGTATTTGACTGCATTAATAGCCTTCTTGTTGGCTGTTCCAGAATTCAAGAACTCATGTCAAAAGTATTTGCTGGGCTGACAGGGAGGTGCCAGCACCCTTCCCTACGCACAAAATACATCATCAGCACTACAAGGCCAGCAATGGAAAACTGGAGGATCCAGATTCAAGTCCCAGAAGGAACGTCGTGTTTGGTCTCTGCCATCAATGCCTTAACAAGAAGCCCGCACCGAGGACTGCAATACTACTGCCTTCCTGCCATTTATGGGGCGAGAATTTGTTCGGTGGCACATCAGAGTCAGCAGAGGCTGGAGAGCTGACAGTCTGGGATTTGCACTGAGTCAATCCACCCCTAATTAGCAGGGCTCCTAGGACCAAATGTGGGCATCAAGAAAACTTGATAGCTCAGCAGCAAATCCCAAATGGGTAGAGCAGCACTCCCTTACTGAAGGACATCTGCTCTATCTGCATTGAATTTGTTCCTTCTCCCCTAAAATTCCCTAAAGGACAAGACAAAAACTGAAAGCAGTTTTCATGATTCAGCCTCAAAAGAGATTTGGAGGGATGGCAGTGTGTCATTTGTGCTGCTGTGGGAGTAGATAAGAAAGTTCAGGGTAGATGTGAGGGGAGTGGAGTCTTTTTAATGATTTATGGACAGTGGACACAAGAGAGTGTGAAGCTCAGCTAAGCTGTGTGGGAATGTGCCGGGACAGCATTCTTTTTCAATGGCTGCTCATTCACCTTCTTTCTGAACAGGTCTGTCTCACTGCAGTAACAATTTCTATAATATTTTTTGTTTTAAAGGCAACACAGAATGAAAGCATCCGTACATCAGATATTTCCATTCCATAACCTTAATTTGTTTGGATGTGGGGCAGACTTGCGGGCTAAAATTCTTAGCAGGTTTAAACAGCTGTTCATTTACTGTACTTGTCAACCTATCAGCTGAAAAGCTACTCCCCCTTCTCTTCTCTGTCTAAAAGGCAGCTATGAAACCTCTGTAAAACTTCAGAAATCCTTCTAAAATAGAGCTAGTAAGTCAGTCAGTTTTTGGAAAGGAAATAGAGGAACCACCAACACAACAAATCCACAGAAAGTCACAGCTCTGGATGCCCTTGCTTGTCCAGGCATAAAACCACTTCTATAAATGTGAAGCAGCATTTATATCTCAGATACCTTCCAATACCACTAAGACACCTGAGCATTTTTCCAACACTTCTCAGCATGAGAAATCTCATTCTGCTCATTCCCAACCACATATCCTTTTTCCTCCCCCAACATAAATACAGAGATAGAGTCCCATGAACAAAGACACACTGGAGAGCAGACAGATTGCTGTCCTTTAAATCTTGCCATCTCATTTTCTTGCCCTGAGTGAGGAAAGCAGCCTGTGCGGAAGAGCCGTGTCCTACATTCTTGTCCAGCCACTGTATGATTTCTCAACAGAAATAACACAGCCACTAAAGCATCACACAAAATCTAGGTTTGTTTCTTGCCTTACAGAAACATCACTGTAGAAGTCCAACTCTGGTCAGAACACATTTTACCCGCCAGATTTACAAGCAACATCTGGGATTTCAAAAAATCGTAAGATTTTTTAAATCTGCATTTTTCTCAATTAGTTTATTTGGCAAGTTATGTAGTGTTGCAGCTTCTCCTACCCACGCAGCTCTTGGGGATAAGAGATGCAAAAAAAATAAATGCATAAAAATAGAATCATGATACCTTACAGCTATTTTAACTTATTTAAATTTACTACTTTTCAAGTTGGTAGACTAATTTTAAGACAGCAGTTACTTTACAGATCCCTTAAGATAATATAAATTATTGAAAGCTTGTACACTCAAGTTTCTACATAACTCCAGCTTGTACCTATTTCTTAAATGTAACAAACACATAACCTTTTCGAGCTGGCACATTTCGTCTCTTGTGCAGTCTTGGGACAGCTGCAATTTTTTCCATGCCATATACTTCCATCTCCTTTCATGGGTTTGAAAATCTTCAACCATTCTGGATCTGATATTGGCTCCCACCATGCATCTTTTTTTATGATGAAGGTGTTACTACTACAGGAATCAGATTCAGAGTTGTGAATTGCAGCAGAAGCCTCTCTGCTTTTTTCACCAAACAGAATGCCAGTTCTGTCTTCCCAGGTTTTATTTTCATTATCAGTTTTTTCAGATGTGACAGTGTTCTGGATCAAAGTACTTGGCGAATCTACACGAGAACTGACATTAAGCCAATGCTCATATTCAGGTAAAGATGACTCAAAGGTTTGTTGGTCTCTGCTTTCCACTCCATTCTCAGAAATTGCGCTGTTTCTCAATGGCCTTGTGTTGTTTGCCTCACAAAATACTTTGCTGCCTAGCTCATCAGGGCTTGATGCAACATCCTGCCTTTCTTCTTCTTCCGTAAGGACAGCCAAGACTTTCACAACTTTTTGACACCGGTTTAAGTACGCTGAGGTAGTTTCCTCCAAGTCTGATGCATTCAGTAACAGTCTTTTATCTACTTCACACATCTCAGAGGTGATTTTTACCCTACTTTTTGGAACTTGTGCAGTTCCACGCTCCTCGCATATCTCGTGAGTGCCCTCAGTCCTAACTGCGTCTGTCTCGCTGTTACTTTCAGGGGCAGAGAATGCCATACCTAGGCTACAATAGCACGATAAAGAAAACAGTCAGAAATACTGCATTTAAAGAGCATACATAACTGTACTCAAGATTAAAGCTATACATTAACCAGAGGCTCTAGCCATGGTCCTGCAGTAGTTCATACACCAACAGGCAGCTGTATCCTGCCAAGACCCGACAGAATTCTCCCCAGATTTGGCTGTTACTTTCCAAAATCAGTCTGAAAGTTCCCTCTGTTTTATATAGCAGGGTGATTCTGTCTGAACCTCCAGGGTGTGCACCAATTTCCTAATCTGAAAGCAAAATAAACTTGATTTTTAAACAAAAGTAGTAGCAGGTCAGATTAACACCTCTACACCACCAGGCTATTCCATTTTTTAAAAATTCATTAACTGTCTGGCCTGCGTATAGTGCTTTATTGTGTGACTGATACTCATGGTGTCTCCTGACCAAGTAAAAAAAGGTATCTGATAACTTCGCTGGATGTTTGTGGTTGAGTCCAGCAAAGCCACCTTCACACAGCACACATCTCTTTTAGGATGTTGGTTATGGCTGAACAGTGAAGTTTCCCTCTGAGAATAAACTACAAAATAAAAAAAAAATACTTTACCTCGTTTCATGGGCCGCCTTTTCATGCTTTTGCCTTAATTCCTGAGAGCTCTCCAAATTGACATGAAGAAATTGCAAGTCACGCTGCTGTTTTATGTAGATCTGTTTAAAGATAGTAATGCGCATTAGTGAATGTCTGGAGTGCAGGAACATTGTCATCAGGTCGTAACACACTGCCTGTCTTCCAAAAATATCCTCAAAATATTTTCATAAACCAATACCTGCAGTCAAACTATTGTCAAACCTTCCAAATCTAAGGGGCCACCTCTGGATGTATACAGGAAAATAATGTTTTGTGGCAATAAACAGTATTCTATCAGAAGACTGCAGTGGTCTTATAAAATGGAACCACACTGAACCATAAATACAATGTCATTAATGTTATTTAATACATGTTGTTACTATGTTGTTCAAAGTAATGCAGAATTACAGGACATGGACTGATGATCACGGTTTTGCTTTCACCACAGGGGATTTTTTGAAAAGCTAATGTAGAAGATAACACACTGATCAATTATTTGCAATAAAGAAAACTGAACATGCCTTAAGAAGCTCAAATGAGCGCAGGTGAAAACTCCGGTTTTAAGACACTGTTGAAAAACAGATCTTCCAGTACACCATTCCCCTTTACCCTGCGTGCGTTCACCTTGGGCAGGCGTGGAAGGCAGCCTGCCCCACTCCCACTGCCTTTCACGTGACTTCTGGAGCCCAGCGCTCCCTGGCTGTACGCACCTACTGCCAAACTGTTATCTCAACAGGCTGCCCCCACTTTACTGCTACGAGGGTGGTGTTTACTCACTGTAGGACTGAGTAAATACAATTATACAAAAAAGGCTAAAAGCACATGTAAATACAAGGATTTGTACCATGGGTTTTTAATATTAACAACAAAAAAACCCAACGTTCTATAGGGATCCCAGCCAGGCAGAAACAGCAAATTTGATTTTTTTTTTTTCTTAATTAAGAATAGTTAGATCTAACTTTTTTATACTGTTCCATGCAGATCTGATGTTATTGAAAAACACCTTCATAATCTCAGAGGAGAAACAGAATCAGAGCTGTACCTGTCGCAAACTTGATAGTTCTGTATCAGTCCGTGCTTGTTTAGACTTGGCAAACTGAAGAAGCTGATCCTTTCTCTTTGCTTTCTCAACTGTTTCAAAACATACAAATTTTTAATTATTTAAAGTGAACAGACACAAAGCAAGTACAGTCTGCCCTTCCTATCCACTGCAGTACAGAAGAGTTTCTCTCTACCCAAAACCAAAGTGAAGCTATCAACAGATAGCAAGTTGCAGTTTACTGTTCCTGCAGAAGCCCTAGATACTGCTTTCACAGAATAATGATGTACAAAGGCATATACCTTTATTAAACTGCAAGAAAGGTAGGTAAGAAGCTGCCTCCTTCACAGATATTAGTGAACTGTTGCTGTTTAGAAGTCTCTACACTGTTGAAAGCAAAGGCATGAAATGCCAACTGCCCACACTTACCAGTAAGTGCGAGCTCATTCCTCAAGCAGCCATTTTCTTTTCTGAGGTGAATGATTTCTTCCTGCTGCTTATTATTTTCCTTCACCTTTTCACAGAGGTCATCTTTAAAACAAAATGCAGTATTTCCCAGAATGAAAAGGACTCACACTGGTCTGCACTGAATTAGGTGCCCAGTACAAAGATTTACCTTTCAGTTTATGTGCTTCAAGTATTAGTTCTTTCAGTCTCAGTTTGAGGTCTTGCTTTTCTTCGTTGAGACTGAATTCCTCCGTCTTTGCTGCACGCAATGCACTTTCCAGCTTTCTGAATTTAGATGTAAACTCAGTAATGTGATCAGTTGTTTCAAGTATAACCTCATCCTGAAATACGAAATAGAATGTGTTCTTGATTATTGTTTTATCTTCATGTATGGATTTTGACAAAACAATAGTACATCTCATTGAAGTCATTATAGCTAGTTCACAGATTTTTCTTGAGGAAAAAACCCAAAAATCAGAGCCAGGAAACAAGCTTGTTTATGAAAATAAACCAGTTTATTATTTGTTGACCACTTTTCCCCTCTCAAACAAGCCTAAGAATTAAACAGCAGCCAGATCAACAGTGACTACAGTCACCAATAACTGCACTGCAGTTTGACCACGTTTACTGCCTGATGAGATGACAGATGTTACCTTCAGCTTAAGCATAGTAAGAAGCTCCTGTTCTCTCGCTTGCAGCTGGCCTGTTTTAGCAGACAGTTCCAAAACTGAGCAGTGGAGACTTCGATTTTTCTCCTAGTGAACAGAAATAAGACTGCCAGTTACTACTTCAGCGATTCAAATTTTCCATAAATGTGTGAACAACTTTATTTAAACATTATGAATGGCAATATGGGATTCTGAGCAAGGTGTGATCTGGAGAAAAGAGGACTGGAGTAAAAATTTTCCCCCAGTTCATTACAACTAAACTTGCTTGCAATCAAGGGTCTTAATATCCTGCATGTCTTACGTCAAGGCGATTAGACAGATGAAAACACAGAATGCTGCTTTACTGCATTGCATTGGGGGGGGGGGGAATTATCCCAATAAACACATCATTGCCAAATCACTTTAGAAAAAATCTAGAACCCTTGAATACCAATTATTTTCATATCCTTAAACCATTTTCAGAACGTTACAGTTCGTCATAGTAATCAAAGTGGTAAATAAAACTTTCTGGAACTTCCCAACCAAGTGCCAGGACTGTTCTAGGGGCCAGCACTGCCTTTTGCAATCACTATGCCTGACGGTTTTGGATGCAAGTTGGTTCTAAGCAGTGTTCCCCAAAACTAAGCAAACAAACACTAAACTCCAAATCCTAACTTAGGAAAGTTTTTTTGCCCTTTATTTCCCCCCAACGAATCAGAGCTATACCTTAACCTAACATTACTGTACCAAAAGACAAATGCAACTCAAGAGCCTTAATGTCAAATATTCACTAGTGAGACTCACAAATGCCACTGGCATTCTGTATTTGCATGGACTGCAAAATCAGACCATCACTCAACTCCTACCTCCAGAGCCTGACAGTGAACAGTTGCATCTGTTACTTTTTGAGACAGCTCTTTAAACTTCTGTTGCGTATATTCAAATGTCGCCCTACTGTCATTCTGCTGAGATTCTAAAAACTTTAACCTTTTGGTCAGGGATTTTATCATTTCATTTCTCTTGTTCAGCTCATCTGAAAAGAAGGGAGACAAAGATACCTGTGAGAAAACAGCTCAGATACTTGTCATGCAATTTTTTAAATCTCAGAAATAATTTAATCTAGTGTTTAATCCAGTGTTTTAAAATCACATAATTCAGAAATGGATTCCCTAGCTACCCAGGTCAGATGGAATATGAACTCTGGGGTGACCTCTGTACCATGGCTGTCAAACAAGACAGTTCAGAGCTGCTAGGTGATCAGATGTGTGGCTTGTGGATGAGGTCAGAGCTGTGCAGCAGAACCTCAGAGCACAAGGCTCTGCAGTACACCAAATTTTTGCAAATTGTTCTCTTCCCCCAGTTTTATTTAAGCAGATTTTTTTTTTTTTTTTTAAAGAGTCCACTGAAGCAATTTACATATTCAAACGAGAAAGAGCCATCTGATTATCATATCCCCTTCAAGATCAGATCACTTTAGTACCATTGTGGAAGTTTTGATCTCAGAAAGACAACCAAATTTAAGGCTGAAAGGTAGGAAATGGTTCCTTACAGGTGCAAAACTGTTATTGAGGGGTTTAAGCACCTCAACATACTTATTCTTTATGCACACAATACTTACTGTTTAATAAGTTGCATCGTTCTGCTAAGGTCAGTCTTTTTTGCCGGTCATCCTCCCAGGCTAGAAGCTCTCTCTGATGCACTGCAACCATGTCATTGAGTTCCTTATCCCGATCTTTCAGTTCTGCAATTAAAAGCTGGAGTTCTTGCCTCTGTTTCTGAATGGTGCTGTTCTCAAGGCTTGGGCTAAGTTTCTATAAAAGGTAACACACGGAACACATTTCGACACAAAGAAGCAGCGACGAATTCTCCGATAATAAACTCGAGGCTTGTGGTACCACCTGCGGTCCTTTGAACTGAAGCGGGTAGTGGTACAATGAGTACTTTCATGTTAAAAATAGAGTACTGCGATTGTTAACTGCACTTTCATTTTTTACCTGGGGCGAAGCAGAACGCGGCAGTGATGAATTCATAGGGGACTGGGGACCAGAGCCCTCCCAGGCATTAGTGGCTACTGGTAAATAATTATGGCTGTGACCTTCCGCATGCAGGCTGCCTCTGATTTAAGCACTACATGGTTTCCCGCCGAGAGCGCTGCTGACCCGGCAACCCTGCAGGAACGACAAGCGCAGGCCGTTGGGAAACGACTGAGGTGGGGGAGCGGCCCTGCGGCCCCCCCACGGCCGCCGAGGCCTGAGCTTTCTCCCCCCGGCGGGGGGGCCCCCCCCCCCCGCCTCAGGGGCCTTTCGCGCCCGCCCCCGCCTCAGGGGCCTGCGCCCCCCGCCCGTTACCCCTCGCCCCCCGCCAAACCCACAGGCGCCCTCGCCCTGACGTCACGGCGCCGCCCCGCCCTCGCCAGCCGTTGAGTCGGCAGAAGCTCCGCCCCCCGCGGCAGCGGTCAGGCTACGGGTTCGAGTCCCGCGCCCGGCTAAGGCCGCGCTCCGCCGGCGGGGCTGGAGCTGCCAGGAAAAACGTGGTAATTAATAATGTTGTTAATACAACGAGCAAGAACCAGACTGGATGTTACAGGACGGCGGTAACGACCCTGCTCAACTTTTAAATGGAACAACTACAGCGATACGGTTATCTCCTTAGATACACCATTCACGACTAAACCCACAACTTATAAACAAGAATCACAGAAAACAAAAGAACTTTACCGGTAGAGGACAGGGTGCGCAATGCATCATCCCCTTGAGTTTGACCTCCTCTGGGTCCTACACAACAGGGGGATGTCAGTTGCAGGACTCTGCCACCAGGGAGCACTGAAGGTTATTAAACGGAGCAGTGAGAGCCAAAGCACCGATGGAGTTTACGGAAACTATCAGCCGCCACTGTAAAGTTGGCGTTAATTACTGTAAAGTTGTGTTAATTACTACCACTCTTGAACTAGCAGTATGCTAAAAGCATAAAGCCACTAAAATTGCCTCACCTTGAGGACCAGCTGGGTTAAGCGTTCATTTGGAATTATGAAAACAAGCTAAATGTTTCAGACACATTCACATATTACTCAGTGTTTCCACTTAATAAAATAAAATAGTTCAGCTGGAAGGGACCTACAACCATCACCTACTCCAACTGCCTGACCGCTTCAAGATGCATTTTCCTTTAATTGTTAGAAAACCTTTAAAGTATTTGTCCCATTCTGATTTCTAAGATATTATGCAGGTAAATGAGAAGTTTGAGTTCTGTACAATAGCCACATGCCTTACTGAAGTTCAGCAGACACAACAGCAAACAAAAAATAAACTTTTTATGACTTAAATTATTATTATCCTGTAAGAATGTTAAAGGAAAGTAGCTGTAAAGAAAACAGAAACTGTATTCAGTGAGGAACAGTAATTTTATTTAAATCTACTTCATGCGTAAGCATGATAGAACCCCAATTTAACTTTGGCAAATACCACAACAACAAAAAAACCAACCCAAGCAGCCTATACAGAACAGTGAAAATGCCAAGGATATGGGTTCTCCACAGTTTCACTGCAGAGCAAATGGATTTAGAAGCCCCACTTTGGCTACATCGTTTATAACCATATAATTAAATAAAGGTAGTCTTTCACTATCACTTCTTGACTTCTCCAAGATCTTCAATGCTATCATCATCCACCTAGAGGGGAAAAAAAAAAAAAAAGCCAAAACACAGCATAGTAAGTATATTTTCTTCTTACATGTCTCACTCAACATTCACCACTGTACATGTAATGAAGTGTGGGAGAAGTATATAGAACCATCCGAGATTCCCTGCTGTAAATTCTATGCGAGTGACACGTACCTATAGGACAGAGCCGAGCGTGTGGGGCTCTGAATAAAGACAAGCCCACAGAGCTATTTCAGAAAGAACTACCATCGGGGAACACCAGCACAAGGGAGAGTCAAAGAAAGCGCTTGTGATTACAGCAGCACAACCAAGCCTCTCAACCATCGACATTTCAGTCTAACCCAAAATTAGCCAATCTCTTCTTCTGAAGCACAAGTGTGTGGTTTGGGATTTTTCTGTTTCGTTTTTGTTTGTTTGTTTGTTTTTTTCAATTTTGCAATGTTTTAAGAGATTTTGAAAAATAGGATGGCAATGTAAGAATACTTAAGAATTCACCGTTAAGAAACGGTCACACAGAAGCCACAGATATTTGACAGCTGGAGCTGAACTTACTCCGACATGCCTTCCTCACTGATGTATCCACAGTAACAGCACTACATGTTTCGGGAGTTAATGTTTCTTGGACAATGGAAACAACATTCAACTTCAAGTTTAATCACTCCTTAACCTAGTCATTCACAGGTGGGAACACAACAACTGGTCTTTTATTTTTGTGCAACAGTTTGTGCTGCCAAAGATGAAACTGTTTTTCAAAATTATTGGAAAGTCACAGGCTACTGTGGAAAACTAGAGTGCTGACAGAAGAAAGGGTTTATTACCTCAGGCCATTTCTCCTGGATTACATCGATAATGTCATCTGTAAAATCCCCCTGAATGATGATTTCGTCTTCTCCTGTTACTGAGGCACCGCAGGAAAATTTCTGAGCAAAAAACCTTTGTGCTTCCTTAAGATCAATTTCTGTTGACGGGAAAATGGACAGTTTAAGTACAATCATTTCACACAAGTATTTTCTCAAGTTTAAAACCAAAATCTTGTTTTAACCGTTGAAAAACTAGTGGCAGTTTACAGTTAAAATTTTGCCACAATTTCCATTGAAAGCAAAAGTTGTTTACATACAAAATAACTGACTCTACAAATCTAGCAAACTCTTCAAGCCAAAAAGACCGGTGAATGTCCTCTCCACATTCTGTTTACGCAGGTCTATGCTACACACGCTCACCAGAAAAGCACATGCAGAACTGATTAAAAAGCCCCTCCAGTTCTTCAATAACTCTGGAAGTTATTCAGAAGTTTTTCCATAGGAGTGCTTCAGTATGTTCTTTTCAGAAACATGTCTCAACAATATTTGAGATTGGCTCCCAGCACAAAGATACAGACCCACTTCAGATCAAGCTAGCGCATTTACTGATCCCTCAAGACCGACAATATGCTCATGCAGGAAATATGTAACATCTCGTTAATACAACCAAGGTTAAAACTTACCTTTTTAACAGAATTCCTGATCTATGTGTGAAGATGTTATAAACACCAAGTGGCTGTTTGTAGCTGAACCAAAGCTATGTAGGACAGCATTGTTAGTGTACTTTGGTAATAATTTGACTGCCTTACTAGAAAGGCAGTTGAAGCCTTACTTAATCAGTCTCAAGAATACATAAAATTAATTGTCAATAACATATTTACAGGTTTGATGGAAATAAGAAACTTCTTGAAAATAAACATGTTTATAATTAAAGACAATAGACTACTCTGAAGCCTAACAAGCAGACTGCTATGGGAAGCCCTGTTTCAAAAATCCCATAACCCTATTTGTTTGCGAACACTGTGGAAATAAGGACTTTACTGATCTGTCACTGAGGGAAGTCAGTGTACCTTTGGCATGCTTTGGAACTGCTAAAAGCACCTTGGGACTTTCACCTCACACAGATGGAATTGGATCACTCAATGTAGTACAATCAGAAGAAACATCACGAGGTTAAAGGCAAGCACAACTAAAACCAACAAAAACCTACATAACAAAAGTCAACTCACCAAATGTTGCAAGGCCACATACTCTTGTGACATATTTTTTCTTCGCTCTAGGAATTTTAGCTATTGTAACTTTCTGTGGTACAGTCTTCTTTTTCTGTTTTATCTGACCTCTTCCACCTTTAAAGCAGAGTATAAGGTTACATAATTAGTTAAATGATGTCACACTTAAAGAAAAAAAGCATATAAGGTCAGATTTCATTCCTATAAACAAAGAAACTGTTATCTACCCATCAGTGTTGCTAAACAAAAATGTATTTTTCACATTAGTTGTCTCACATTGGTGTTTTTTTATTATTTAAGAAAGGTCCCATGTCATCAAACCTCAATATTACAAGAAATAACAATACACAGACGTCAAATGTGCATTAATTATCAAAAAAGGGGTTTTCCCCATGCTTTACTAATCACTGCACTTGGTCTACATTTAACCTCTCTTTCAGAAATTGTTCTTTGGTTGCAATCCTACAAACAAACTGTTACTTTTATGTTTTTCATGAGTTTAATGTCCTCAGGGTTTGTGTCCAAGGCAAAGCAACTTACTCATGCCCGTTTACTGAGGCCCTGATGACGTGCCTATTATAGCTGCTGGGTTAAACAGCAGATTAAGTTCTAGGTATCCATGCACGACCCCAGTATGAACCGTGTATCTATAGATGAGCTAGCAGAAAACATCACGCCTCTGAAAGAGAAGCCAGCTACAGTAGCTGACTGCCAAACTTCCACATGAATTAACATCTTCTTTCTTACTGTCTGTTTCTAGGCCAACCTGAGGGAACACTTCACATATCAGGCCTTTATTAGTCTGAGTAAAGCACGCAAAAGATATATTCTACTTGTTAAGATTCTTCAAGTCAGATTAAGATCTTGGTTAACTTTCTGTACAGTAATTGAGTGACTCCAAAGTAACCAAAGTTTCATGTTCTTGAGCTTTCTCAGCATGAAAACCTGAAGAATTTATAACGAGCAAACTACCCCTTGTGACTACTTTTTCTAACATGCAGCGCTTTCAATTCTACATTACTATAAATTGATATCTGAAATCTAAGACAGTAAATTTCTGCAGTGTCTTGGTAAGTTTTTGCCTGTTTTTCCTCACCCTCTCTCTTACATTCAATCTTATATCATCATACTTAACACCATACTGTAAGTTTCCAAGGAACTTTAGATTCTAGGAGAAAATCCCTAAACATTTTAAACACTATTATTTTAGAACCAAACAACAGACTGAAAACTAACCATACCACCTTACACAATAAATAAATGTTGAAAGAAAATGTCCTGAACTCTCTGGGAAAAGCATCCAAGCTATGGAACATAAATTATTATTCTCACTACTCATAGCC